GTTTATCAAACTGAAGATTAGAGACTTTAACAAACTGAAGATTAGAGACTTTAACAAACTGAAGAGTTTATCAAACTGATGATTAGAGAGTTTATCAAACTGAACATTACAGAGTTTATCAAATTCAAGATTAGAGAGTTTAACAAACTGAAGATTAGAGACTTTAACAAACTGAAGAGTTTATCAAACTGATGATTAGAGAGTTTAACAAACTGAACATTACAGAGTTTATCAAATTCAAGATTAGAGAGTTTAACAAACTGAAGATTGGAGAGTTTAAAAACTGAAGATTAGAGAGTTTAACAAACTGCAGATTAGAGTTGATCAAACTGAATATTAGAGAATTAAACAAATTGAAGATTAGAGAATTAAACAAATTGAAGATTAGAGATTTTAACAAACTGAAGATTAGAGAGTTTAACAAACTGAAGATTAGAGAGTTTATCAAACTGAAGATTAGAGACTAACAAACTGAAGATTAGAGACTTTAACAAACTGAAGATTACAGAGTTTATCAAATTCAAGATTAGAGATTTTAACAAACTGAAGATTGGAGAGTTTAACAAACTGAAGATTAGAGTTGATCAAACTGTAGATTAGAGAGTTGAACAAACTGAAGATTACAGAGTTGAACAAACTGAAGATTAGAAAGTTTAACGAAATAAAGATTAGAGAGTTTAACAAACTGAAGATTAGAGTTTAACAATCTGAAGATTAGAGAGTTTATGAAACTGAAGATTACAGAGTTTAACAAATTGAAGATTAGAGAGTTTAACAAACTGAAGATTACAGAGTTTATCAAACTGAAGATTAGAGAGTTTATCAAACTGAAAATTACAGAGTTTATCAAATTCAAGATTAGAGAGTTTAACAAACTGAAGATTGGAGAGTTTAACAAACTGAAGATTTGAGTTGATCAAATTGAAGATTAGAGAATTAAACAAATTGAAGATGAGAGAATTAAACAAATTGAAGATTAGATAGTTTAACAAACTGAAGATTAGAGACTTTAACAAA